CCGGAGAGAGATAAATTTCAACACGGCACTACTTGCCCTGTGTTTTACCTACATGTACGAAATTTGGTCGGTACATGTAACATGCCAAGACTTAGAAAAAAGACTGCGTGCACCATACCCTAAACCCAACAGGAAATGAGATATTTTAAATTTATTCAGCAATTTTGGAACCAAATTTATTTCAGCATTTTTGGTACCATTTTTAGCATTTACAGGGATTGGAATTAAAAAACTCCACTTAGAGAATTTAACAGATCGACATCATAATTGGTCAGTCAAATCTTAAGACCCTTGCTACGCTAAATTGCGAAGCTTTGAGTTTTCATTGAACAGCCTGCCCGAGGCGGTGCGGCACATCTTTTCCAACCTGCCCCAAACTTAATATGTTTGATAAAAGTCCTGCCCTGAAGACATCTAAATGTCAATATTCAGTTACAGTCATAGCGCCACCTCATGGCGACAGGAAATTCATGTTCTTCGTCGAGAGGGTTGACCACACCCACCTCAAACTTGATGATGCTTTATTGTGAAACTGTGAGTTTTTGCTGAATGGCCTGACTGTGGCGGTGCAGCAACTTTCAATGTTTGGCAGTAAAAAGGAATTGTTATAACTCAAGCACACATTGTCCAAACTGCCCCAATCTTTATGTTTAATAAGATTCCTGGTCTGAACACATCTGCATGACAATTTCAGGTGCACTCATAGCGCCACCTAATGGCAACAGGAAGTATCATGTTTTACAATTTGATTTATTCCTCCTAGCAGTTTGATCACACCTTCCTCAAACTTGGTCAGAAAATACTTCAGACCTTGATGATTCTTTACTGTGAATGCTTTATTGTGAATTTTTATTTAGGGCTGTGGCAGCAAATTTCGCAACAGGAAGTTGTTGTAACTCTATTATACATTGTCCAATCTGCCCCAAACTCATTCAGAAGATGCTTAACATCGTGATGATGCTTTATTGTGAAAATTGTGAGGTTCGTTGAACTGGAATTGGTGGTGGGGTGAATTTTAATGTTTCGCCATGAATATGGAAGTTGTTATGACTGAAATATGCATTGTGCAATCTGCTCCAAACTTCACGTGTTTGATGATAATCCCACACTGAAGACACCTGCATGCTAACATGAAGTCATAGTCATAGCGCCACCTACTGAATACAGGAAATTAACGTTAAATTGATTTACCTGAAATTTTCATGTTCTGGTTTACACGTGATATATCAACATATAGCAACACGCACTGAAAGGACAGCTGACAGCAGAAGAGAGGAGAACAGATTTTGAAGTCTGACAGCGACAACGTGATTGACTGGTTGAGATCATGGTAGACTTCGATTGGTTACTGAAAACACCTGAAGTCAGCTGATTAGAAGAAGTGGAGTGAGAGAGCAAGAGAGAATTGTGAATGGATGAGGCGTAAACTTGAACTTATCCTGAGCTTCATTTGGATCAAGTATCCTCAGCTGTAATTTTACTGTCAGACGCATATTTAATCAATATTTAGGTAAATATAAGCATCAGGTCTGACCCAGTATCGCCAGATACCCAATATTAAACATACAATATGTAACTTCTGTTGCAATAACAAAAGACGGCGTAGGGGGACGTTGTGAAATAGCGTGGGATCATGGGAGTTGATGTCTTCACCACCATTGCCGTAAGCTTCTCCCGGTTTGGATTCAATTTACATTTACCCATTTGGCAGATGCTTTTATCCATAGGGACTTACAAGTGAGGGACATCAGTAAAGCTTCAGTGCAGTAGGAAACCTTGCTGTAAGTACTAAGCATTACATCTATTCAATAAGTGAAGGAGATCAGATAAAGATGTGCAGTGAAAGTGCATAGTAAGTGTTAGTTAGGCGTGTTAGGGTGTTAGGAGAGGAGGTGCTCTCTGAAGAGTGGCCAGGATCTATACACGATTCATGGATATCAACAGAGAACGACCTGAGGCAGCTGTTTGAAAGGCATCATATTCCAGCTGGATGTTACTTGGTGGGTGACAGTGGATATCCACGTCTTACGTGGATAACTTCAGATCCAGAGGTCAGATGACTAAAATCCTTTATCTGGTTAAAATATAGAGTTGAAAACCACCAAGGTGTAAGAAGTGTATATATTTTTTTGTAAAGATATTTTTGAGGGCATTTTGTGCCTTTATTGTGACAGCTACAGTGAGAGAGAACTGACCTTAAAATATACTATAGGTCTTTACAAATGTAGAGTTAATCCACATTTAGAAGCAGTTTTCGGGCGGCATCCCTTCACTGACAAGATTACCTCTATAGATATCAATATGTGGGATATTGATTGACTTTTGCTTTGACTTTTCAATACTCCAATTGATGAGTACCCAAAAGGAAGAGAAATTAGTTACCCAGTCCTACCTGAACTATTTTTATATTTTCATTTGCCTACTTTAGCTGGTCAAGGTTATCAGAAGCAAGGTTGCTAGATTGATGAGTTGCCTTTAGGAATAAGTAGGAAGAGAAAATGAAATAATTTTGAATAGAGAGGAAAAGAAAAAGTCTTAACTCCAACATATTTTTTTTTATAACAAAGTAGACTTTATTAGTGTTTGGAGGCTGTTGTAATTCGATTTAACAGCCACACCTCAGTCATAGACATCTGTATGTGCAGTTCAGTGGTCTTCAGTCTTTGTCATCTATTTGCTGCGGTCAACATCCAGTGTATGTTGCTGCAGAATTTTTTTGTAACGAATTGCTGCACCTCGAGTCACGAGTCGTTGTCTAGTAGCAGGCATCCATGATGCGCCTCAAGCTCATGAACCTAATGCCGCTCATGCCCATGCTGCTGAAGTTCCTGTACTCTCCAGGCCTCATGTACATCATCCTTCCTCTGAAGTTGGGCTGCTCGTACATCAGCCAGTGGCCATCCATCACGTTGCAGGACATTAAGTTAGACATGCCGAAGCGCTCCATGACATTCTCGCAGTCCTCCATCAGCTCCTGCATCTGGCCCTGGAAGTTCTCCCTCTCGTAGATCTTCATCCTGAACTGGCCTCTGTGCATGGGGATCATGCGGCAGGACCTGATGCAGTCGCTCATGCCCATCATGCTCATATAGTCAGCGTACTCGCCCCTCCTCATGAAGTGCTGGTTTCCCATGTAGTTGGGGCGGTCGTAGACCATGAAGCAGCCCCTCTCCACCCTGCAGGAATGGCAGCGGCTCAGGAAGGAGGACATGTCGGGGCAGTCGCTCATGCACTCGTAAGAGCGGCCCTGGAAGTTCCTGTCCTCGTAGAAGATGATCTTGCCCATCATGTTCATGCCACTGGAAGTCATCTTTGCCAGGTGTTGTTGCTGGAGGCAATACTGCTGCTGGTGGTGCTGCTGCTGCTGGTGGTGCTGCTGCTGCTGTTGGAGCTGAACTGCTTGTCTACCTGCTGGACACCTTCCTTTTTATACCTGAAAAGCAGAGGGCCCCCTTTGTGAAAACAGCCTGACCCAGCAACATACCATAAAAGCCCATAAAGCATTGAGGGTTGTCAACATTAACCCATGCCCCCCCCCCAAAAAAAAAAAACCTTAGAGAGGCGGTTTCACTTCAAATACTGTCACACAAAACATTTTTGAAAGGGTTAACAAGGAACAATAGCACCTTTTGTAACGCCTTTGTAACATCACTGTAGAGCACAAAACCATCCTTAGCTTTGGGATTTTGTTTTGTTGTCTAATTCTTAACAGTTTGCAACATCATCCATTAATATTGTCAGGGAAAGGTTCATTATACAAAAAAAGTATTTGTATTCTAACAAACTTATTATTTATAACAGTTGATATAATATTTTAGTGCAGTCACACTGAAATGATATTCAGCCTATAGCCTTAACAGTGACTGATGTTGCAAAAGAGTTTTAATTTGACAAGGCTTTCAATAAATCAACTGGCAGTTTCCACATTAAAGTTAATTAAATACTGACAGCGCAATATATAATTAGATTACATTAGAATCATTTAAATTTGTTTGACATGTCACAGTGATAATTGAAGGTATAATCTTTTTATGCAGATTTTCTCAGTCTTTGAAATAAAATAAGATATAGGTGACACAGATTATGAAACATTCACTGTCTGAATCAGGGGTTTGAATGTGTCTTGGTCACTACTTCTGCTACTAGTCAGTCAGATCACTTGTACAGCAGGTGGAGGGGCTGTGGGGGAGGAAGCCGTCTACAGTGGCAGTATAACAGAAGCAGCAGGCCAGCAGTAGGATTGACCATTTTCATGTAATTATAAAATGATTACGTCAGACGTACTTCATTATTTCACTCCTTTCCTGGAGATTTTTCTCCATAAATGACTTTAAAAACTGAACTGTTTATCATCAAATTATCATCTAATTCATCTTTGATGTTTTTTCTGTAAAGTAGAACAGTTCCAACAAATCCTCTTAAGAGAACAGGGTCCTTCACCACCGTACAGAATCACTTGATACTCTTGATGTTTTTCAGCATGTCCAGTTTTATGTCTGAGCGGATGTATGGGAGAATGTGAGGATCTTTATGGCGCTGACCTGAGGTTGTCACTGTGTGCAGCAGCAGGGAAGGAATCTCCATTGCATGTGGTCTTTTCATGTTATTTTGGTGGACTGATGCACAGGAATAATATTCTTGTTGAATGTTGCTCTGACTCAGGATCTACAGTAGGTCTGTACATCTGATTAAGCCCCTTGTTGAATTTTTTGCATGGTTTTCTTTTGCTGATCTTTAAAGGTTCTTTATGAAAGTTTTCTCTGTCATTGAAGAGCTTCAGACATCGTTGTGTTTACAATACTATAGGTTACAATACGCCCTTTGAGCAGCACTATGTCTTCAGGGCAGCCTGGGTGCTACAGTGACTCGGTATCGGAAAGGGATTATGATGTTTGATCAGACGAGGTCTAGCTGGTTAGCATGCTAACTTAGAAATAGAACCAAAACAATAAGGTTGCTTTCCACCTCTGGACACAGCTCTTGATGAGGTAAGGAATGACGTTTGATGCTGAAATCACAATGTTTTTTTCCAGACTGCTAAGTAGCCAGCTGTTAATGCTAACATTTGCTAAGTTGCAATAGCAAAACTTACATATAGTCCTTTTAACTCTGCTTTATTCGTTTAAATCAAATAATTATTTCCCACACAGCTGATCCCAAATAATTCGGTTATTTTACTGTAATAATGGCAACTCGAGGTCAGAATTCATCTACAGACAGATGTGCAAAAGTATAAAAGAAGTTTCATTTATTTATTTGATAGTCTTCAGTATGAGAAGGCAAGGGTGCACAGAGACACACAGCCACAGACTTTCTAAAAATACAGTGTATCATGGTAAAATGTGGAACCAAGAACAGCGACAGTCTAACATATGAACTTTACTGTGCTTTACTTCCTGTTTTTACTTATTCTGCACTTTCTCTTGTCAACGTCAGCTTGTTAAAGAAAGTTCTAACATGTTGAAATTAAATAATGAGCAAAACTATAGATAATCATTACAGTGCATTCAATTCGTTTGAGGAATAGACGGATTGAATAATAAAATACCACAGTGATAGAAACATAACTGCAGCTGCAACATTATCTAACCACAAGGTTTATTTAGTAGTTGTTGGGGCATTCAGTCGTGTCACATGAGTTTCCTCTGCAGATGAGTTTGTCACTGAATTAAAGATAAATGTTGCTTTTTGCCTGAGCACTCATGTTGGAAATGTCACAAATAAACTGTGTTAAAATGTCTCATAGTCAAGAATTAAAATTGATATTAAAATCCTAAATGAATCGACAGGAAGTCGGTATGGAGGAAATGATAAACATTGCTACAAATGTGAAAAATGACATTAACACAGAAGAAGTTGTGGGTGATGCACACACGTCAGTTTTATGTAAACTGTGACCTTATCACTTTCACTTCTTGTTGATTCCAGTGTTGCTTCACTCAGCATGCCACTCTGTTATATTTCTCTTTAGCTCTGTGGTTTGGATGTTTTTCCACGATAACGAATATAAAAGTGTTTACATCTCCGGTCATGCAGGACTTCCAGCAAATGAGGCAGCTTGTGTTTTTAAAAAAAAAAATGTTTTCCTTAAGATGAAGACTCCCTGAAGCCCATAAAAGTTAAGCGGCTCAGCTGTGTGTTGCAATCAGCTGACTGAGCCGTAACACTGGATGGTTATCGTGTACTGCCAACAACAGTTTGCTGTGTGGCCACTCCATTAAACTCAACATGGTAGTTAAACTGAGTTATAGCATCTCTGGCTGCAGTTCCACGTTGAGCAAACAGCAAATGTCAGCACAAGGAGCTCGTATTCTTCTGTGGTGTTTGTCCACAGAAAGTATAGGGTGTGGAGGAGCCTGAACAGCAGAACGATTCCTGTGTTTTTGCTTTAGGGAATGTGCCTTAACTCCTCAACACATCTGCAATGCAATGTCAGTATAGTGTATGTAAGTGGAATTAGAATGAAGAAGCCCTAGGGATCAAAATACCTGAGTTATATACAGTACCTTAAAATCCCTTTTAAACCTCATTAACATAAAGTGAAATGTGCATGTAATAAGGAATCAAAAAGGCCAAAACAAAATATTAAATATTCAAAATGTTGTTTATGTTCTTCAGTTTCCTTTAATTACACACTTAATTTAAAGTTCCCCATATTGTTTAAAAGTTGTATATTAATTAGTTAATACTGTGAAAGTATTGAAGCGCTCAGTCCACAGAGAAATGCACACAGCCTGTATTCAGAAACTGAGCCTTAAAACAAGCAGTCAAGACTTCTGTAACTTTGTGATGTCACAACAAAGCAGTCGCCGCTCTCAGCCCCGCCCACCCTGACCCATATTTTTAAAAAAATATATTTTCATATTATTATGAAAACACACGTGTCTAAGTCAAATATTCTCTCGCCTTTCCCCTCTGTTTACTCTCTCTTGAGGCTGTTTAGCTGCAACTTAGCTGCAGCATGTTTGCAGTGAACCACAACAGTACATTTGGTTTGGTCCATAAAATCAAAACAATGAGCTGAAAGATGCTAAAGCTAAATCCACAGAGAGGAGGGAGACAGCATATTTCTCAGTGGGTTCTTCAGTCTCTCACTCTCTTTTCAAAATACACATACATTTGATCTGTTGTTAATAAGAGAAAAAAAATGTGATTAAAAGAACCTTTAAAGAATGGATGTTCCATTATTGAATCCAGGCTAATCTCGCCCACACACAGTCCTGACCTTTTTCCTTCTTGCTTCCCTGCTGTGGATGTTTCAGATCATGTATTTCTATATTCCAGATCAGGGCGAGACCCCAGGATTATGTTTTCATATATAAGATTTCTGTTACCAAAATGTATTGAAGGAATGATGGGAATAAGCATCTGGACATTTGGTCTTGGTAAAAATTCAAATACTTGCAGCATATGTCTCCATTTTGAAATCTGATTCAATAATTATTAAATTCCTGATCAGTTCTGCAAACCCTTTAGATTTCCTCATCTGAGTTTTTTTATTTGAATGTGTTTTCCCCTGAAACTCAGAAACTGCTGTTTAATTATCTGAACAAAGACTTAAATGACTCTGGGAAATGCAGTGCAGAGACCCCACAGCCCCAAAAAAGAAACAGAGCTCACACATGATCCCTTTATCCACCATATTTGCAGACAACCCCTAGAAAAAAAAAACGACCAAGTGAAACAGCCTGAACGTGGAAAATAAAATCCTTGAGCCAAACTGTGTTTTAAGGCCACGAGCCAGAAATGTGGAGCAGCACAGCTGTTGATACAGGATCGGTTCACTGATTAACTGAACGCAGATAAGAAATGTTCAGCTCGGTGCGCTGCCTTCCCGGGGTGAGCTGACACAGTGCAGCGGCGGCGGTGGCGGGGGACTTAATGTTAACTTGTCATAGGCAGTAATTGCTGCTCATTACACTGCACACAGCTGGAGACGAGCCCAGCTTGTCCCGGCAGTCTCACTGCTGTTCTTCAAGCCACGAAGCAGAGAGGTCTGCTCCGTCTCCAGCAGTTACCATCAGTGAACAGCTTTAAATTGTACCAAGCGATGTACAAGAAGCTGATGTTCATGTGTCTTTGTGGCTATATAAAGCTAAAACGGAAGCAGAGTTCAGAGCTGAGTAGTTTTGTTATTGAAAGTGTCTTGTCTACTTATATTATACAAAACAGGAACTTAAATGCATTGAAAACACTTCCTCTAAATGGCCCTTTGTGTACTTTCAGAATCAGTTCAGCTACAAGTGAAACTCTGGAGTCAGTCACAAATGTAAACATTCTTATTACTGTACATTTAATGCACAATCCCGATCAGTCCTCAAATATGCTGAAGTTTCAGTTTGAGTTGAAGATGTTGAAGAGGTTCCAGCTGAAGGAGTTTGAAACATCAGTTGAAGTGGGCC